TACACGTGCTCATCTGGATTGAGCACCTCATAATTATAACCTGATCAACGTAGAAAATCATGTACATGTACTACATAAACATTGAAGAATATATAGAGCAAAGATTATGGACATAAATGACATGAAAAAACATGTTTTAGTAATATTCAACAAATTCTTGATCATGTGATAAAAACGAATCTTAAATTTGTAAACACGTCACTTTTTCACTTTATTGTATATTCATTTACGATCATGTATATGAGTCTTAAGAACTGAAATAAATAGTTTGTGTAATTAAAATTATATATCTTATAATTATCGTATTTCAATATGACCGTTTTATAAGCAATATATCAAATTATCAATTTTGTAAAAAATCTTGCATCAACAATACAGTGCAGAAATACAGATGGTATAACTTTATTTTGTCTTTTTTCGATGGGTAAAGGTGGGGTCAACATTTGGCCCCCTCTCTGATTTCTTTTATTCTTTCGCCATATGTAGATACGTTAAAATGATCAATAACTGTATATATGATTATTCATAATTACAACTGATAACCGTAGTGGACCTCCTTGCATAACACCAGGTTGACTGACGGGGGTATCCTAACAAAATGACAGATAAATGTCACAGGAGAATGTTATCTTGAAAATGAATTATGATAGTGTACAGTGCATAAAATTACTGTTATTTTGATACTAAATATGTCATATTGGTATACATGAAGTAAGCGTAGTGATACTTTTAATTGGAAAAACATGCAAAATTTTCATAAAATTCACAATTTTACCAACATTGTCAACTTGCCTATATATAGTTACAATGGTAGTCCTATATTTTAAACTTCTTTAAAAACTTATATATTATAAGTACTATATATCTGTCTACAGAATCATTTTTATGAAATATCGAAACCGGTAAAGCATATTTTTAGCACGCCAAACATGATCAAAGGCCAATTTCACATAATCATGGAGATTTGATTATCAATGTTTCTTTTATGGTAAATACCGATACATTTCTGTTTTTGTATTATACAAAAACACTTTATTATATAACGTTTGTTTGAAAGTTATGCGCAACAGTAATAACTCATGAATATGTATTCTGCCAAAGTAATCGTTCCTCTGGAGAACTACTTAAGCGTATCTGTCCGTCTCTCTGTCCGTAGAAAAAGTTTGTCCGGACAACTCCTTCTAATGTAATGGACCAGTTTCAACGAAAGTTCCAAGATATATTAACTACCACCTGAAGTTGTGCTTCCAGGTATTATTTTTTCAATCTGACCCTCTTTTTTACGGAGAAATGACCCTTTGTTGAAAAATACTTGTCCAGACAAATCCTCCAAAACTATTGCGCCAATTTCAACGGAAGTTTATATATGTGGTAACTGCCCTCTGATATTGTGCATCCAAGTAGTACGTTTTCATTCCGACCCTTACAGAGGAG